AGCGCAAAAGTAACGTAACGCATTACTTTCCATAAAAAAGTAACTAAGTAACGTAATTAGTTACTTTTTTATGGAGTAACGCAATATTGTAATGCATTACTTTTAAAAGTAACTTTCCCCAACACTGCTCATAACCCTATAAGGTATTTTAAGAGAGATTATATTGTGAATAAAATAGTTTATCCAAAAATAAAACGTCTTATCACTTAACCTTTATTTAGTTTCTTATCCATATGACTTACAAAAGAGATTTTAGGCAGAAGGATATGTAATTCAGCTACTCTTTCATATAGCTAATTAAATGGTGAATAAGAGAGTTTCTCTGGCCCATCTCATTTTGTGTGCCAAATATATTTATTTGTATAAATTAATTGTATAACTGTAATTACATAATATGACTTTCAAAAGCTGAAGTGATTACCTTAATTTATGTGTTAGAATATGTATAACTCAATATTTTAACTAATTGCAAAAGCTTAATAATCAATAAATGTCTACCGATTAATCAGCGGAATAATCGATTAGTCGATTAATCGGTAGATTAACAGAGTAATCGTTCTAATAATCGTTAGATTAATCGATTATCAAAATAATCGTTTGTTGCAGCTCTAGAGCATATTAGAATGATTTCTGAAGGATCATGTGACACTGAAGTCTGGAGTAATGATGCTGAAAATTCACAGAAATAAATTACATTGTAAAATATATTCAAATAAAAAAAGTTATTTTAAATGGTAATTTTTCACATACTTAATCATAAGAGAATTCTTTCAAAAACATGTTAAAAATCGTATCGACCACAAACCTTTGAAAGGTAGTCTGCAGTTTTGAGCAGTTTTGGTTTCTACATCATTCCCATACTTCAGTTTGGATTGGTTTGTAGTTTTTACAACTGAACTATTATTGTAGAATCTGGAAAACCGTACTAATACAAGGTAGATCTGTCCACGCCAAAATATGAGTACATTTCACTTTACTAAACAAAGTCAGATGTTTTCTTGTTTCGATCTGTGGATCTCTATCTCATGACACATTGTCATTATGCAGACCCATGTCCTAATGTTTAGATTCGTATCTGCCTGTGTTTTCAGGAGCAGTTTAAGGTGGACCCAGAGGGTGGCCTGACTAACGTCCGCTACAAGGTAGAGTCCAGACAGGAAGTGACCGTCAGCGGAGCTCCGTGTACTGTCATCAACACCTTTCTAGAGTGTGACGTCAGCCTGACCCCATGGTGCCAGTCCAGCAAATATGCTTAAGCAGGACCCGTAAAGCCAGAAAGAAATGCATTCTCCTTCTGTGGCGGCAGGAAGGCTTTCACAGATTACTGGTGCCAGTCACACTTGAAAAATCACCCTAAAGGACTTGAATATGTGACTGTGGGAAAAGAACTTTCTCCAAGTTTTATTTTTGTAGGACAGTGTTGTTGGCTTCATCCATGATGAAGCGCTGCCTCATTTTTGAACTGAACTATGGACCAATGTCAGGTACTGCACTGAGTTTGCATCATCAACATTTCAAGTACGAGCATCCAAGTGTCCGATTTTTAATGATGAGTTTTATAATCTTTTAGTTGTAGCGGTGGCCTGTTTTGGACTGTTGTGAGTATTTCCTCAGCCATGTCTCGACAGAATTCTGTTTCTTTTTGCTTGAATTCAAGATCATGTCTTGAAAAAGACAATATTATGTATATGAAAGTTATTTAGGGGGAACTTCGATTGTATTTGCACATTATTAAGTATTTATATAAAAACGAAGGTTTCCTAATTTCAGTCTTTGTACTTTTGTCCCTTGTTTCAGATGCGTGGAATGCTGTTACAAATTCCACTTGCAGGATTATATATAGATCTTATGAACTGGAGGCATGAAGCTATATCCAAAAAACATCTTTCAGCGCAAATGTTAATACAATTCGGACTCAACATAATTTTTATTGGCAATGCCTGAAATGAAACTGTGAATCAGTACTCTCTGCTGCACTACTGCACAGAACATGTTTGACATAAAATAAAGAGAATTTGACTCTATACCATTGCAATTACTCTGTCTTTATTAAAATACAGGGTACTACTTCACATTCACCAGCAGAGCAATGTCAATAACACCGTCGTGCATGCAATCTTCTCAGATGATTGTTCCCATTCTTTTGGGGATTATTTCACACATGAAGGTGCTTTTGAAACCAAACCCTGCATCAAAATGAACAGCATTATTCTATATTATATCCAAAATATTTAGTTTTCTGTTTAAAAAAACTACTTTGAACATTTCTGCAAATGATTTATTCAGCAATGAGAAAAGAGTTGACTGTGGCCGTCTATTAACATTACTAATAGATTTGAGTTCTATACATAATTTAAGAAGATTTACAATTAGACAGCTTAATTCAGGCTTTTTGTAATGTATCTTTGTCCTGTAATTTTTTATTGTGAATAGCTGAATTCATGAACATGCTATTTTTCCATCATGTTCCTCAAGTCAACATCTATTGATGGTCGTCAATTTAATTTAGGCTCAGCTAATGAGTAGTAGAATAACCAATCTTGGCTTCTCTGTGTTCAAAGAGGGTTTAACACCAGCTAGTTCCAGGCAGGGGAACAATAATCACATTTTAACTCGCCTTCACACCCAGAGTGCTTACAAAAACTCCAACTGTTATAGCCTTTCAGCTCTGCACAATCTGCAATCAATTGCCAGAGGCGAAATTAATAGATGTTAATGGCCATTTGTATTTGAGGCAAAGGGGACAAAATTGGCCAGAGAAAGCTATTAATTATATGCAGAGGGACTGAGAAGGGAGGCACAAGAGGGCTGGAGACGGGCTGCTTTGGGGCTCAGTGGGGTCTGTGCCCTACGTGGTTCACATGGGTTTCCGCTGGGTGGGTTGTGAAAGGCCTGAGCAGGGGGGCTTTTGTGTGGCTCCTGAGCCACGATTGTTCCTTCTCAAAAGGGTGACATCTGTCCAGGGTTTCCGAGACTCTGATCCACCCCATTAGCCTCCATCCTCTCTCAACAACTTACTGCGTTTGTAACTGACAAATGAGACAAGCAGAGGCACTCCAGACATGTCAAGCTGCGAGATCAATGCCTTGATCTATGTCTGCTTCATTAAGACACCCTCATAAAGTCCCTGAATGAGTTCAGATTCCTGAGTTCTCCTGATGATTTCTATCCATAAAATAGAAACGAGTGCTTGATGTGTCAAGTAGCTATAGGCCTATATGTTGACAAGTGAATGTTCTTGATGATCATTCAATTTACATTTAAACAAATTATTTAAAAACCTCTCTATTATTATATTCAAGGGATTCAAAGCGTTTATTGTCATATACCCATTGAGGAAAACAAGTTTCCCTGAGCAATGAAATTCTTACTTTGCTGTCCACAATGAATGCCAAGACAGTGCAATGCTATACACACACATACACAAACTACATATACATACATACATACAATGTAAGAAACATAATAATAAAAACTATGCTGCAGTAGTAGGAATATAGACTATGAAAAAAATAGAAATATAGACTGTATCTATATATGCGAGTATAGAGTAGAAATATAGAATGTGAAAATAGAAATATAGACTATGTATATGGTATCTACATATTCGAATGTACAGTATTAACTTATGTGCAAATTAATTTTTTATATATTATATATATTATATATTCACTTTATATATAAAAGGATATTCCGATAATAATCATTTGCTAAAACAACAAGGACAATAATAGGATGATAATAGGCTAATAATGACATAGGTGGCAGTGATTTTAATGGCATTAATTATTATTTGCGTATTGTTTATTATTAGGCTATTATTATTATTTATAATAAACGAATTTAGTCATTTGTAGACTTTAATTCTTACTGGACGTTACGAGTGACGATGCTAGTGCTTTTATTGTAATACACTACAAAATAAATACAAGGCCATTCAAATGCACATTATCAAATAAATACTTTCAGAATCGTTTTAAAAATATATATTTCGTGTTTTTTTAAATAAAACATTTTACCGTGTGTGTGAATAGCCTAATTATTAACGTAAATAGCATAAATAGGCATATTTCTATTAAAATGGGTACGCTACGTTTCATATCACAGCAAGAAAATAACAATGAATAAATAAATATTGTGACGAATTACGCGACCATTAATTTACAAAAAAAAAACAAGAATAATGTTACCAGAACACATTTTATGAAACCCTTTCACGTGCTCACGCCTATTTCGCCAAATAGCCTAGATAGATAGATAGACAGACAGACAGATAGATAGATAGATAGATAGATAGATAGATAGATAGATAGATAGATAGATAGATAGATAGATAGATAGACAGACAGACAGACAGACAGACAGACAGACAGATAGATAGATAGATAGACAGACAGACAGACAGACAGACAGACAGATAGACAGACAGACAGATAGACAGACAGACAGACAGACAGCTAGATAGATAGATAGATAGATAGATAGATAGACAGACAGACAGACAGACAGACAGACAGACAGATAGACAGACAGATAGATAGTAATCATAAAGCAATAAAATGAAACAAATTAGCACAGCATAACCAACTGCATGATCAGTAAGACATCAGAAAGATTCAGTTCTGAAGTTTCGCCAGTCTCATTTTAAATGTAGGTCTACCCTTCATAGATTTAGTTTTGTTGTTAAACTCTTTCTGGTCAAATCCAGAATTTCTTTACTCAACACAAAATGGCTGTAATTGACAGCGAATGAGTGCGGCTCTCGCCGATGCGCATGCGCTGCACACCTCGCCGTCGGAGCTCCGCGCGCAGGTATTGAAGTTGGCTCAAGACAAGCTGACGGATCATCGATCATCAGAGCTCGCAGCGACCTGCATCCGAGGAGCTGATGCCTGCTTCATACGACACAGCCGACGGTGCGCGAGCTTTGCTCTGACCAGAACATGAATGAGATGAGCTCTGAATGAATTTGAACAGAACTGGTGACAGAACTCACACGTCTATTTACAGCTATTGGAAGTATATTGCAACCCACGAAATTTAAGGAACTAAAGCAACCGTATGAAGTTATGGATGATAGAGGGACTATATAAATATTATCTTTTTGACTTTTTTTGAAACGTGGGTTCACCCCAGCATCGGTTTCAGAGTGACCTACTTGTTGATTTACTATTTAATCGACTGAGTATTTTTTTTAATAACCCATCACAATGTTCCAGCACAATAAGAAGTGCTTCACCATTGAATCTCTCGTTGGTAAAGACTCCAATTCCTCAAGTGCCGCCGCGGATGAGCCCATCAGACCCACTGCTCTGAGGTTTACTGAATCCATCCATCCTTCTCCCTTTGGGAGCTGCTTCCAGAACTCAGGCAGGACACTGTACAGCAGCAGCCCAGAGATGATGTTCACAGATCCGGCCACTCACTCCAGCAACTCCGGCCTGTCTCTGCGGCACCTCCAGATCCCCACACAGCCCTTCTTCAGCCCTCACCAGAGGGACACCTTGAACTTCTACCCGTGGGTGCTGAGGAACAGATATCTGGGACATCGATTCCAAGGTAAGGAGGAGACTGAGGATCTGTGCTCAGTTATGCTGCCGGCGAGGATGCAGAGAAAATATCGAAACACTGAAGTGAAAGCGTGAGGTAGTCGAGCTGTTCAAAGGCTTGTATTGATTTCAGTGTTTTATTTAAATAGCCTATTATTGTAAAAAATATTGTAGGCCTACTTAGTGATGCGCACGGGACAAGTCATAAATACCTCAACATTTTCCTTTATTACCTAACATCGTCCTGATTATTATTATTATTATTTATCGATTTTATCGAAAAAAAAAAATCAAAATCATGAGAAAAAATTATGCCGTGCAATAGAGTTTTCTGTTATTTAAAAAAAGAAGACTAAATTGTTTGAAGCGCAATTTTTTTTACCTCGGTAGCCTATCCAATAAACACGAATTGCAAAATAATAATTGTTAAATTTCGAAAGATCGCTGTTTATTTTGATCACATATTTAGGCTATATTTTAGAAGAAGGGAACGGTCGATTCAAATCGTTTTTGTTCTGTTTGTTTGAAATATTCTCAGTCCTCAATGAACAATATTATCATAGCCTATAAATAGCCTAAATAATTAATTAAGCTATTAAAACATCGCAGTTTGTAAGTATAATTTTAAGTAGGCTATAAACTGATAATACAGATAATTGTACTGCCTCTTGTTAATTGGGTTTTTACTTCAACTTAGATCAGCCTTTTAGAATTATATTTGTTAAAAATGTTAACATTTAATCTAATCATTTAAACATCTAATCTAATTGTATATGTGCAATTTAACGAAGGACCCACATTATCTTACTGCTACTTGAACTATTTTGTAAATATTTGTTTATCTATCTTCTTAAAGATGCACTGTATTTCTACATATTTAACGAAGGACCCACATTATCTTACTGCTACTTGAACTATTTTGTAAATATTTGTTTATCTTCTTAAAGATGCACTGTATTTCTACATCGTCTTTTAAAACGTAGGATATAGGTACATAAACTAATTATAATAATTACATTATTTCGGGGGATAAAAATGAATTGCTAGTTCATGTGGAAATTCGTATGAGGTCAGTCTGCTTCATGCAGCTATATTATGTCTGGTTATTATAACGCTCATAAACATTTACAGCTCTTAAAATGACCATAATAAAATGCAAACATTTATAATACTGTTATGGGTATATGTTTGCTATTTTAAGCAATTCATCGGAAAAGGACTTGATGGGTTTATTAGGTGACTGTATTTATATATACCAACAAAAAAAAAATCTGCCTTGAAATGTTTGTTCAATTAAGAGCTTTATTTTAATTTGATTTAAAATTGTGTAAATGTATCACCATCTCAGTGAGATTATTGTTTGAGATGAGATTGTTTCTTCAAACTTCTTTAAAAATGCATTATTATTATTATTACTATTAAAAATCAAATTGTAGTATGATAATCCTGTTTGCAGGGTCCTTTAAAAAAGTGTAACCGATACTGAAAGGTCCTGTTTACCAGGCAATTTGTTAAAGCAGCTATCAGTAGCTCGGGCCGGTCTTGGAGGGGTGTTATGGGAAGCCCAGCTACATTTGTTGTGAGGGTCCTGAGCTGCTTCAGTCCTCGAGGGCATTGCTCAGGTAATTGGTGGAAGTCAGAGGTTGTTGTCACTATTACTCAGATCCGGGGGTTCAGATAGAGCCTCTTTGTTTACACACAGAGCCGATCCACTCACTGATGGTGTCCAATAACCTAGAAAACCACTGTTTAGACCAGACTAAATGCAGCCGTGGGGATTGGGTGGGAAAGGATCGCCGATCGAGGAGAGTGTCAGCCCTAATGTGTCCATGGGTTTTAACTCTACTACTTCCTGAATGGGAAAGAGATGTGTCCATGTCCTCGGATCCGTCATGCGGGACAAGGTAAACAGGATCTCAGAGCGGCCTGCTGTTGTACATGAGCAGGGGTTGGTGTTATGGGAAGGTTTCACAGACTGTGACAGTGCCACACTGATGCACTTTTCTGAGATTTGTGTGCGATCAGGTTACAGTACAAATCTTCCGGAAGGATAAACACCGTCATCAGCAGACTCTTTAACGCTGTTGATTTTCATTTTTTGAGGCTTCATTCCAAAGCGTAGTGTAGTAAAATAATGTAACAATTTAATACTATGTGCTAATATAATAGCAGTTAAGAAATATACACTATATATAATTATATAATAATAGTAATAGTTATTTTATTGTTTTTCTAATTTCTTGAAAACATTTTTATTCTAAATAAAAATCAAATATAATTTGATAGTCCTGTTATCAGAGTCCTTCGAAAAGTGTAATCAAACTATATATACGTACATGAGCAGGGGTTGGTGTTATGGGAAGGTTTCACAGACTGTGACAGTGCCACACTGATGCACTTTTCTGAGATTTGTGTGCGATCAGGTTACAGTACAAATCTTCCGGAAGGATAAACACCGTCATCAGCAGACTCTTTAACGCTGTTGATTTTCATTTTTTGAGGCTTCATTCCAAAGCGTAGTGTAGTAAAATAATGTAACAATTTAATACTATGTGCTAATATAATAGCAGTTAAGAAATATACACTATATATAATTATATAATAATAGTAATAGTTATTTTATTGTTTTTCTAATTTCTTGAAAACATTTTTATTCTAAATAAAAATCAAATATAATTTGATAGTCCTGTTATCAGAGTCCTTCGAAAAGTGTAATCAAACTATATATACGTGTGTGTGTGTGTGTGTGTGTAGACATATATAGACGTATAAACAACGTCATCAGCAGTAGGCAATTTTTATGAATTAATTTTTACGTGTTATACATATCATAATATCATTTGAAATCATTTTCTTGGACATTTTGAAAAATAGAAAAAAAAAGGATTATTTTGAGACGAGTTTATTAAAATGTTTGGTTTCATGCCAAAGCATAATGTAATTAATGTAACAATGTAATAATAATGTGATCATATAGTAGTAATAATAACAACAGATAATATCAGTTAAATCATATATACACATACATGTAACACACACACACACACACATATATGACGTAATGTTTATTCAGTAATTTTATTGGAGGAATATAAACAGTGTAATCAGCAGACTTTTAGTGCTGTTGACTGTCAAAGCATAATTCCAAAGCATAATGTAATAAAATAATGTAACAATATAATGATAATATTTTATATATATATATATGTGATTTGTGTGTGTGTTTTATTTCATCAAGTCTGAAAAACTGGAGGGAGGCAGCGTCACAGGGAACACATTCTGTAGGAGAGACCAAAGGGTCCGGTCTCTTTCTTTCCCACTATAGGCCACCCTTCTCCCTGCCTCTAATGAGAACAGCACTGACAAGACCAAGCTTGTTTGTGCCAAGGGAATGGTAGTAAAGCTGATCTGGGTGCCATCTGGTTCCCTTTTCCTCATGTTGGGGGCTTTCTTGCCGTGGATAGGCCAGTGTGTGTTTGAGTCCAAAGCCCCGGAGGGTCTCCCAGCTCTTCAGGAGGCTTGAGTCTCAGTCAGTGTTCTGGCCTGCCAGTCTGATCCACCACCTCTCTCGAGAGACGCCGAGGTGATGCCACACATGCTGATGATGCCAGACCGAGAGCGCTGAGCGCACACAAAAACACCAATCACTTTGATTCGAAAGTTTCAAAAAGTTGCCACTAACACTGAGGTCGGTTTTGGTTGGTTGGCGCTCACCGCACCTTAAGGAAGGTTTAAGGAGGGCTTTTCAACACCTTCAAACCGCCGAGAACTCATTATTTACATTCTTGCACCCGGCTCCCCTCATTTTTGCACGGAGATGTCTCCATTGTTTTTGCCTGTGGTGTTCAAAGCGTTTTCAGCACGCCAGCTGAAAGCAGTCGTCAATGACAGTGCAGTGACAGAAAATATGCACCTTTTAGTAAAATTGAAGTAAAGGTCGTACATTATTAGGACCTTTGGGAAGTCTCTGTTAGTGAAGGCTTGCATCGTAGACCGATACAAACTAGTCATTTTGTGCATGGAAACAAACACCCTAAATGTTGCAACTGGCCAAAAATGTGTTTTTTTTGTCCGTATTGGGATGTGTGTAGACGACGTATTATTAAGCAGGCAACACAAGTTGCTGTGTTTGAGGCTGAGAGTTGAAGTTGCTTCTCCTCTGAAAGGAGTCAGTTCAAAGCTATTGTGTGCAGATAAAGGGTTGGTTTTGGAGTTTTTAAAGAGACTTAAAGTCTGAACAGCCTCATGCTAATCTGCTTTTCATCGTCTGGTGATGCCATTAGTAAGCTTTTGTGCTCAGAACTGGTCCATCATTGTGCTTTCTTTGATGATGAGTGTTAAAATCGAATGGCTTCTGTGTAAACTTAACTCTTATGGCTAACCATTTGGATTTGGGTTAAATTAGTTTGCCTAAATTTGTGGCTAGAGGATTTAGTTGCTCTTTGGAATTGTGAAAGTTTTTCTGGATGACTGAATATATTTAATAACTTCCATTTGATATGTTAATATGCTTTCAGCAAATGCAGTTGACCGCCTTCGTGGCCTACCAACCATCATCTTTCTGAAGATTCTTTCAAGCATAGCTCTCCAAACACTAATGTAAATTACACATCCATTTGTTTATGAAAAATGGTTTTCTCTCTTTGTGTGTTTGCGATAGACGGCATACGGATTCTGCCCTCCAGATGTTGTCTGGGGTCGAGCAAAGATCATGTTTGCCCTGAAACTGACGGAGACTAAATTTTTACCATTCCCTATTGTTGAATATAATCAGACCAAATGTAAGGGATTCAGATTTGCTTAACTGACAATTAAGATATTCATCACAATGGTTTTACATCTTTTCAACCATGGATGTCTATTTATATTTTAGCAGCAATATTTCAAAGCCTTGCATTTGTATGAAAATCAGGATAATGCCATATGATGAGGGCTCATGAGTCATTAAAGACTCGTCTCTGAATGCACGGAGACGTTGGGTTGGTATGAATGATGCGGTGGGAACACACTTTACATCAGCCGTGTCTGGAACTAACCTGGAATTATTCAAATCGACTCATGTGGCTCAATTAAGACATGCAATCCTGCGCTTAATGTCTGCATTGCTGTGCCTATGTAAAGCACTTATTAAAAGCATAAAGAGCCTTTGGATAATGCATCTGCTAAATGAAGAAATGTCATAGGACAGATACTTTATTATTCTAAATAACTCTAAAAGAATTTTGTGAATGCACATGTAATGCCATGCACATATGGAATGAAATAAAAATCGGTTACATTTCAAAAGCAATGCAATAACATCATGATGTCAACAGAAGGTTACTAAAAATGTAACACTGAAATTTGAATGAAAATGTATTTATACATTTAAGTCACAATTTAAATTCTTAAAAGTTTATGAATGTGTTGAAAAAACGTAATAAATTAAAATCAAATAAAATTGCCCACTTTCTAATTAACACATATTCTATTTTTTTTTTTAGTTTGTTGTTAGATTTTTAAAAGATTTTTTATTTAGTTATTTAAAATCCCACCATAAAATTGTCCACTTCCTAATTAGCATGTTCTCTTAATTTCTCTGTTTTGGTTTTTACTTATTCATTTAAAATCCGCTATAAAATGTCCACTTCCTAATTAGCATGTACTCTTAATTTCTCTATTTTTTTAGTATTCTTTTTTATTTTAAAGAAAGTTTTAGATTTTTATTTAAAATCCTGCTATAAAATTGTTCTCTTCCTAATTAACATGTATTCTTTATTTCTGTATTTTTCATTTTTTAAAGAAAGTTACAATTTAAAACCACGCTAATGATCCACTTCCTAATTAACATGCACTCTTTATTTCTCTATTATTTTTTATTTTTAAAGAAAGTTCTAGATCTTTATTTATTTAAAATTGTGCACTTCCTAATTAACATGTTTTCTTTATTTTTGAAAGAAAGTAAAACATTTTTTAATTTAAAACCACACTAATGAGCCACTTCCTAATTAACATGTACTCTTTACTTCTTACTATGACTAATGCTCTCACAGTCTGTTTTCAGATTTTTCTTTAAACAAAGTTTTAGATTATTTATTTATTTAAAATGCAACTACAAAATTGTCAACTTCCTAATTAATATGTACTCTTTATATAATTGCTTCTTGTCTCCAGGTGACGACAGTAGCCCGGAAAACCTGCTGCTACACGGACCCTTCTCTCGCAAGCCCAAGCGCATCCGCACGGCCTTCTCCCCCTCGCAGCTGCTCCGGCTGGAACGTGCCTTTGAGAAGAACCATTACGTGGTGGGAGCCGAGCGGAAACAGTTAGCCAATGGGCTGTGCCTGACAGAGACGCAGGTAAGCAGGCAGAGGCATCAGGGTCGATCCCTCCGGCGCACACGGCTGCATTCCACCACACACACACACACACACACGACATGAACGCACGTTTACTCTAGTTTCCTCACAGGATGGAAGTAATTCATCATTCATTGCCTTGGGATAGGCCATACAAATTCCAAAGCATGTATACAACATGCAGTAATTGGTTATTCTCCCAATCGTCTGTACATACATTCACATACATGCTTGTGTAAGATTGCTAGGCTTGAGCAATACCTGTTGTGACATACGGAGGGGTCCAAAATTCTGAGGCACCTTTGAAAACCTGGGATTTAAAATCTGAACCTGGAAATAAATAAAAAATATTTAAATGTAATAATTACATTTAATAATATATTAAATGTTATGACATAAAATAATAAATATGTCAGATTCTGCACTGCTGGTTTTAGACAACTTTTGGACACCTGCTGTGAAACTTTTAAATCAAAACGTATAATTAATTAAAATGTAACATTTTCTTAAAGAGAGAGAGAGAGAGAGTGCATGTTAATTAGGAAGTGCACAATTTTATAGTGGGATTTTGAATAAATTAAGAAAAATCTACAACTTTCTTTAAAGAAATCTAACAACAACAAAAAAACTCTAAAAAATAGAGAAATTATTTTGGACACGTATTGTTTTTTCTATTTTCCGATACGTTTTTCAAATGTTAATTTTTAATTAAATGTTTACTTCCATGCTGATGATATCATTTTGAATATTTTTATTTAAAAATGCAAACCATTTACACGAGTGAACTTTTAATCGTTTAAATGAGTTATTTTGTATTTATAACTACTTTTGGATGTTTTTTTAAATACTGTTTTATCCGTTTTCTGCTAAATTTTTAAATACATTTTTTTTATTTATAATTAAAATGTTGAATGCTAATGCTTCATTCAAATTTTCATGCTCACAATCTGCAATTATTTTTTATTACATTATAAAAATGAAAAGCATTTTCACTAGTGGTTTCAGACTTTTAGGCCATCTTTGAAGTTATTTTGTTTTGTATACTTTTGTTTTGGATGTTACAGTGTTTTTCTCTGATATGTTTTTAAATGAAAAATGTTCAAATTTTTGTGCTGATATTCACCTTTATTTCAAATTTTTTAAGCTGATAATATAATTTATAATAAATTGTTTTTAATTATAAAAATGCTAAACAGAAGCATTTTCACTAGTGGTTTAAGACTATGAATCTTTTAAATGAGTTATTCTGTTTTTACATTTTTGTCTTTATTTCGAATGCTTTTTAACATACTATTTTATCAGTATCAAACTCACATAGTAGATACGTTTTCACATATCGTGCAGTAGAGATTGTAAAATGAAATATGATTTCCTCACCAGATTGAGAGATTACGTCAATCATATTTCAAATAAGTAGCAGGCATAAGCATGTTTTTAAATATGGCATAATAGTGTGTTGGGAACGTATTTTTAATAGCAAACACAGTACTGGGAAGATTGGCTTCCCACCATTTAAAAAAAAAAAATTATTAAAAAAAAAAAGTATATTTCTAAGTAATTGTTTTAAGCTGATATATTAAAGTGGCCTATCTTTCTCATTCTTGTTAAGGTGAAAGTCTGGTTCCAGAACAGAAGGACTAAACACAAGCGACAGAAGCTGGAGGAAGAGTCACCGGACTCGCCGCAGAAGAGGAAAGGCACTCAGCATGTGAGCCGCTGGAGGGTGGCCACTCAGCAGGGCAGCCCTGAGGACATCGACGTCATTTCAGAAGACTGATATCATACATCTGCGCTATCCTGGGTAATAAACATCAGTCATGCTGACGGATCCCTGCCGCAAAAAAGCAAGACATTCTTCAGACTTTGTCATGAATTGAACTTGGCTTGTAAACTAAGTAACTGAGTCACAGCCGTCCGCTGCTGACTTCTGATCCCGCACAACAGAAGAAAGGACGATGACAGCAGCCGAACTACTCACAAAGACTGGAAGACTTCTGTATGCAAAACACATGGACCTCTTCATTTTGGATCACATTCCATTTTTGTGTGTTTTTTTTTTTTTGTAAGGTTTCACTTCTCTTTTGCTCCTTTATTATCAGTCAGAACATTTCCATCATAAAGTAGTATATTGGATGGCAAAGGTAATAAAACCACCTTAATGCATAGATTGATAAATGTTTTGTAGTGTTAGAAATTCAATGGCCACAGTCTAACAACAATAGGTCGATCCAGTGTGAGAATGAAATATCACTCGTAGACAGTGTTGGGGAAAGTTACTTTTAAAAGTAATGCATTACAATTTTGCGTTACTCCATGAAAAAAGTAACTAATTATGATACTTAGTTACTTTTTATGGAAGGTAATGCATTATGTTACTTTTGCGTTACTTTTTAAATCTGGACAGGGCTTGCTTGTTTGTTTTTCAAATTAAAAAGTTCTATTTTTGGCAAATATAAAAAAGCCTTTTCACAGCAAAAGTGAAATGAATAAGCCTCAGGCTGAAGGGAAAGTACACTTACGTCCGTACAGTAGAATGCAGAAGAAGACATTTCAACACACCTCAGCAATAAACAAAGACACAAATGTCGTCTAGAGTAATTTGTGCTTTATTAGTACGGTTGAACTGGATCATCGAAGGTCAGAAGCAAAGGCATTGGTTAATAGAATGGGATTAAATACATAAAGGATATTTGTGTTGTTTAACATTTAATTATTGCACGTTCGCGTCATATTCTGAGTTGCATTATTTTTATTCATTTTGAGGAATACTGAATCTGTTTTTTTTTGTGAGTGAGATGAATGAATGCATATTTATTTTAGAACTACAGGAACATCTTCTGATTTCTCTCAACATGGGGACAGGAGAGCTGTCAGTCAATAAATTGAAAAAAAAAGTAACTTGCGTTACTTATTTGAAAAAGTAAGTCAGATATTCTTTTGTAAATTAAAAAGTATTGCGTTACTTTACTAGTTACTTGAAAAAAGTCATCTGATTACATAACTCGCGTTACTTGTAATGCGCCCCAACACTGCTCATAGATGTACTTCTAAGAAATGTTGTGATACTTTACAACTGGATGTTTGTATTTGACAAAGTGTCATTATTTTACAAACTAGGCCAATTTAAAGAGGTGAAATACCCTCCCATTCAGATATTGAGTCTTTCTAGAAAATCACTAGTGCAGTTTCACATTTGAAATGGTTTTATTTATTCCTTCTCTATGCATCTGAGCTCCAAACCCAAAATGTTATTTTGTGTTTTACATCTGGGTTAAAGCTTATGGAAGATTTGACATGTATTGTGTGAGAATTACTTTCGTAATTACCACGATGGCTCTTGAACTGACGTCAAATATCAGTGAACTAGAGAAGCTTAGAAAGTGCTTGCATTTCTTTCTTCACTCAATTAAAAACACAAAAACACAAAATATTCTCAGTCTAACCTCCAAGACCCAGAATGGTTTGTAGCACTTCATAGCAGATTTCTTTAAGGTGAAAAGCACTGTAATCCCATCTGTTTGTCTTCATTGTTCAGCCAATTTTTGTTATGCGTTTGTTTGACTTTTTTTTTCCTGCAGGCTGTTAGATAATAAAACTTTAACTTAATGACTGTTTGGAAATTATTTATCCTTTGTTCCATTATTATTACCACTGTTAAGTTATATTGAATGGATATTATTAGTGCATGAGCCTTATTTAGCAGTGATTTATTTATTGATGTCTTAAATAGAAGATGCTTTTCCTGAGCAACCACAAAAAGCAGACGGGTTTCATTAATCAGAAATGATTTTAATAATAGTGTACTTACATGCTCACAAAACATATAAGTGCTTGAAAGTGAACACAAACATCTCCACCTTTGGATTTCCATGTGCATTTGACTGTTCACTTATGTACCTCATCTGCTTGCTCATTTAAAAAAATGATATGTACATACATATTTATATTTCATTCAGCTGGAAATGCATCCATGTGTTTTTTTTTTTACAACTTCCAAAAAATAGATATATTTAAAAAATATTGCTGAAATAAAGCATTGCTGAAACTTTGGCCTTTGTGTTTAATTCTCTTTCCTGTTAATTTTGAAAGCAAAATTAGTCATTGAGTGCAATTATTAAAACAATACATTTGAGAAATAAATATGCAGCAGGTATATTTTATGAATTTGCATCACGTCCATTAATTTTTTTATAAATTTTATAATTCATACACTGTAAAAAAATGATTTTTCTAAATAAAACAGATTTATTTGACATTTTACAACAACTACAAAAATACTATTTAAATTTGAATACTTCAAAATTTCACGTACTGTATAATTCATTGTGTTATTTTGTAATTCTTTGTGAAATCTACTAGCAATTTCTGAGTGAAAACTCTTTCTATGATAAATAAATATAAATAAAAAAAAATAAAATAAAAAAAAATCTATAAATATAAAAATAAAATGTAAATAACATTACATAATAATAAACAAATGAATCAAAACTATTATACATTTCATTCATAACAATAGTTGAAAACTGATTTTTCAAAGCTGTGAATAAAACAAATATTACTGGAGTATATTTTACAAGATAATACTATTTCAGTTTTTCTACTTCAAAATTTCACATTTAATTCAGTGCGATACTTGCTGTTTCTTTGTAACTGTTTGTGAAATTAAATCAGTGAAAACTGATTCTACATTAAAAAAAAATTTCAGTGTGAATTGATAGTTATTTAATGAATAATGGTCCTGTTAAAACTATTGATTTCAATACGATTTCTTTATAAGTTGGTGTTTTAAGTAAATGATCACTGGGTAAAAACAAACAAACAAAAAAACACTTATCTACTTGTTTATCTATCTAACAGTGCCTCATTTGCCTCGTTTGTGGCTGTATCAACTCCAGCTGAGCAATTACCATGTGTTTAGAGGGTGAGAACATACAGTACCTCAGCGAGGCTATAAACAGTGTCACTGTTCAACGCTGTATGCGTTTTAATTACGAGTATTCATAAAACTATCTGATAACTGCGCAAATGATTAAACTAAACAACATGCTGCTATTAGTCTATGGGTTGTCATGATTATAAGATCCGATGGAAAACAAAAACCCAATGGGTGGTTTATTACTTTTCCAAAGCGGAATCATTTGGAATATGACGGAGAAAAGGCGTTATAAAAATGCTGTACATCCTTGTGTCTAGATGCAAGGATAACAGTTTGGTATGTGGGTGGGTAAGCTGGAATTGGGGATGTTTGGACTTCAGAAGGAGGAAGTACACTTGAGTCTATTGTGCAATAAATCCAAATAGGGAGGGCCTTCGCTTCTGCCTATGGGACAATGTCATACAAATGCATGATTTATGAACCGCTACTCAGTCGGACTTCAGTAAGCTATATTTGTGATGAAACGTCTAATCAAACAGTTTTTCTGATATCCGCGAAAATGGCCATGAAATGTGTTTACTCTCCCCAAACATTTTTTGGTGGTGGGGGGGGTTGTGAGTGCTGCATGTGATGATACTATGACAAGAAGCAGTGTGATTTACAACACAAATGATATGATAATTGCAGGCTGGCAACTTTCAGGAGCTAGTTAGCCAGTTTTATGGACTGGAAGAGCTTGTTTCCTCTGCTGCCACCTGTTTGGTCTGCACCGATTGGCTGCGGGGCACTTGAGAAAAGCAGCCACTCAATTATATGGTCCTGCCAGTCAAGTCTAGAAGAGTAATTGATTAATTACGCTAATTAATGCACAATGACTGTTGCTGATCCAAAATCCATGAACTAAACCGAGCATGCTCATCAGCGGTTAAATCGATCTTTCGAAAGTAAATTGCTTCTGACTTTGTGCTTTCGCAACAATATTTTGATTGGCGAGGCTTTTTTGTGTACCCAAAACAGTCAGTGAGAGTTTTCTGTTTGGATTACAAATATTTAAATTATTGCAGACATGCCGCTTTGCTTCTTTGAAAACGT